CGGCTCCACATAAAATTGATAGGTCCTCTCGCGGACCCTCTCTTAAACCACATGATAATACGTTAACTGTATCAAAAATCAAAAAACGTATGAAGATTCATAAAAACATATGAAATTGCATTACAACACATTAAAATGCATTATCGAAAGATCCTTTAATAAAAACCGATAATATCGAAAACACACTACAATACATGGTTATACTATTTGAAAATATGTCAAAAGCCAAACTCGTTGTTCCTGCAAGATTCAATTGAACTTTCCTTTGTAATGATACTTCTTGAAGAAATCGCTTGAAAAAGAAAACATTCGAAAGGCCTCGCGTTATCCTCATACTCTATCTAATTATTTATTTTTCTCCTTGTCTTTTCTCTTTTTCCTCCTTTTTTTTTTTTTTTCTTATTATCTTTCTCTTTTCTTAAAAATAATAAAATTAGTTTATAAAAAAATTAAAAAAACACAAAAACAAATTGTATTAATATTTATTATATTTATCGTTATTCTCTTCTTTATTATACATTAACAAAATATATAATTATCCTAAAATTAAAAATTTGTGTTGACTTGTCAAAATAAAAAGAATTGATATATAATTATCCTAAAATTAAAAATTTCTGTTGACTTGTCAAAATAAAAAGAAAATAAATGACCATTAGCTATTTCACCATCACGTACAGTTCGACCTAATTCTTGATAATAACTCTAAACATTTCCAATAAAATTTCTTTAAGAAATGAAAACAAAAAAAACTAAAATCTCTAACTTCAATTGATTGTAGCATAGAAAAATATGTAATCAAAAGTATTTCTTTAGGAATAAATCTGTTCGATCACATTCAGGGTGTGGATATGGGTATTTGTCTTTTCTTTACCCACACACCCACTCACATCTGTCCACGCCCATACCTGCACCCCACATCCACTCACACGCACACCTGGACAATTCTTATAAGCTCAAATGAAAGAAATCATGGAAAAATTTAAGTCGATAGATATGATTTCATTAGTTCAAAGAAAATTAAAAAAAAAAATTTTTGAATCAGAAAAACTCAGTTTCTTAGCAATAAAAATTTCTAATGGAAAATTTCTAATGTATTTCTCTTTGTTGAACCAAAACTTTTGAAAATACGTATCTGTAATGAACGTATAAGTTGTACTATGTCCAATTCAAAATTTTCGAATTGAAGAGAAATTCTTTTTTGTCAATAATTAATACTTCATGTTAAACAAATGCGTGATATCGAACGTTATGAGAACAGTCAACTAATGAAAAGTTCTAGATGATTTTTTCTTGAATCCAATAAGTTTCATTCGATTTGAATTTAGTAAAGTGAAAATTCTTGAGGTCGTTAATTTCGTCGGTTTTCAATAAACTGCTAAATATGTTTTGAAATGTTTTGGGCTATATTCTTTTATTTTGACACAGATAAAATGGGATTCTGCAAGATACACTTGACGGCTTTGTGAGCACTGTGTGATCTTATAATACAAGGATGAGAGTGCGGATATGAGTGATGGTATAGATTTCAGTTTTGCCATCATTGATATAGTTTTTTTTCGAAATCTAGATATCTTGATCTGTGCGCATTTTTCACACACCCAAAACAATATTTTCGAGCAAAGAATAGATTTTTGACCGAAAAACTGTTCTTTTAGGAACCAAATAATGTAGACCAAGCTGCTCAATCTGTTGTGATGCTCGGAATCAGTATAGTCGATTACTAATAATCTACTAATTTTCGAATAAAAACCGATTACACAGTTGGTTACTCTTCCTTTCAAGTCGTTCTCGGTAGAATGTGCTAAAAACGCCTTCTCTGAAAAGCCTCTCAGGCGCCACCTGTTGTCTAGAGAGAAACAAAACTTTTTCCTTTCCTGTTTTCTTAATCAAAATGTGTGAGCATCACCACTTTATAATTATTATTAATATAAAAGAAAACCTTCTTCTATTATTCATATGTTTCTAAACTTACAAAGATGTTTCTTGAAATTATCATTGATGGAAAAAGAATTTTCTTTCTTTCCTTTCTTTAGAAGGAATTCATACATGTAGCCCTCGTTTTTTTTATTTTTGAATTTAAATAAGATATTTAGTTAGGACTTTGATGTTGACAAAAGTTCTATAAATCACTCAGAATATTTTCTGCCAGTTCTAAATCTACAAACATAGCCATATAAAACCATACAGTTCATATTACTGACGTTAGCTTCATTGATATTAAAAGGAATGAACATAATTTTCAACGACAGGCACGTATATACTAAATAAATACAGGACGAACTTATTCACAATAATGTACTAGGTGGGAAAAAATATTTTGATAGGGGGGTACCGCTGTATTTTGAAATAGAGTTAATAATGAATTTTATACCAAATGAAAGCCCGTAAAAAATGGGATTTATTGGTACTAAAGAATAAGGGTTATGGAAACTTTCGTGTATTGAAACTGGAAGTTTAATGAATTTTGCATAATGCAATCCTTATAATTCATTTTTTGTGGGTTTTAAGACAAAGAAAAAGGAAATATTCTTTAGAAAAATTGAAAAAAGCATTCTTCTGGTGATCATAGGACCTAACTATGATTCAGAAGGTGCAATTTTCTTTTTACGTTCTGTCGTCTATTACTTGTGATGACGGCGAAGAAAAAAAGTTTTTTTTAAATTTTTCTTGCCTTAGAAAGTTAGAGAACAGGAAAGTTCGAGAAGCTTATGAAACCATATATAAGGTCATTTTCTAATCGATATCTTTCATAAAAAATCTATCCTTTCGGTGCATCAATTAAATCTAATTATTCTAAAATGGCTGGTACTTATGATACCGAAGAGCAGAGAATTATTGATAGAATCAATTGCATTGCTTTTCGTGAAGCTAGAGATGCTGATGCAACATTTATTAATCGACATTGGGTTGCGAAGAATGTGCATCGTTCGGTTCAATTTGTCACAGACTGGTGGGAAAATCCATATGACCAATGTTTTGCTGATTATTCAAACGTCGGTCGAAAGCTTAAATTATCACAACCAAGTCAAGACATCATTCTTAAAGCCAGTGGTCGACAAAGAAAAAGTGGTTCTGTTGTGGCGAAGGAGATTGCAGAAAAACAAAAAGAATACGTTAGTCGAAGAACAATTAATAATTACCGTCACAGAGAAGGATTAAAACCATTTCATGTTATTCCAAAACCGCTAAAATCTGAAACACACATATCAGATCGATTATGGCTGTGCGATTGGTTAGAAGATTGGACTGAAGAGGATTTTCTTCATCTCGCACCATCTGACGAATTTTTTGTGTGGGTTGTTCGTTGATCAAATCATCAAAATGATCGAATTTAGGCAAAAAGTGTCGACGATATTGAAGAAGACGAACGTTATCGTGAAATGGTTAAAAATCAAGTATGCATCGGGATTTTTGTGATATTTACTGCTAAAAGGTTACATTGGGTGATTAAAGATAAAGGTGAATCTTGGACTGGTCAATATTTTCGTGATATAATTTTGACTGAACACGTCTTTCCATTCTTAAAAAATGAAGAAAATGTTATTGATCCCGATGAAGTTATATTTGTCCATGACAAAGCACCATGCATGCGAACATATCAGAAGCAACATTTGCTTCAAGACAATGATGTTAAATTTTGGGGTAATGATATTTGACCAGGAAATTCACCCGATCTCAATGCGGCAGAACATATTGGAACAATAATCAAAGATGAAGTTGAAAAAAAGATGTTATCAGAACCCAGACATTCTCGTTATCTTGAAGAAACACTCAAAATGCACCTTTCAGATGTTTTGAAAAATATGGAAACCGACACTGATTTATTTGAAACTCTCTTATGTTCATATCCATCTCGACTACGTGCAGTAAAGAACGCTAACGGTCGTCATACTGACTATTGATTGTTTTCATTAAGGCCCCCCTCAAAAATGTCAAGTTTCGTTAGAAAAACGAAATTTGAGATAAGTGCACAGCCGAATGCTATGATGCCTGAAAGTTAAGAATTCACATGATTTTCAGGTTTCGTTCCCCCAAAACCTGGGTTTTTTGCAAAAAAGTCTATTTTTGGCACCATACATAAATTTTTTAAAAAATTGATTTTTTTCAAAAAAAATAAGATTTTAAAGAAAAAGGTCATTTTTTCATTAAAAGAAGTATATCTTGAGTGTTAAAAGATGGTTAGATAGTTTAGTTTATGCCATTCTGATCACTTGATTATGGATCAATAGATTATTTTTGTACGAACTTTTAACAGCGTTCTTATCTTTCAGAAAACCATTCTGATAGTTGTTCTAAAAATTGTAAAAAATTTATGTTATTCGAAACTACTAATATTCTCTGTAAATAGGCTATTTCCAACAGACGAAATCTTAGAAATGAGAAAAAGCTTTATTAGAATCAAACTTTTTTATCATACGTAAAAAATAGTAAAAACACAAAAAGTGTTCATACATATATATATGTATATATACATAAAAAAAACAGAAAAAAAAACAAACAATATTTACATTGAAAATTCAATTGTCTTCGTCCGAGTCTTTCCATTTCCGACTTTTTGGATTATAATAAAGGTCTTCTACTTGTCGATTTCCATCATCATTATTATCATCTTCGTTATCGGTGTTGTTGTGAGATGTTTCATCACTATCAAATGAAGTGTCAGCAGTGGAACTCACATCATCATAATCATCATCATCAAAATCATCATTATTTTCATTTTGTTGATCAGATGTTTCACTAACGTCATCAGCATCAGATATACCATGTTTCTTCATCAGTTGTATCTTTAATTGCTTCAATTAGATTGATCAACTTCTTTTGTTTGCGCATATATTCTTTATTTGCAGTATGTAAGCGTTCATCGTCAAATGAGATCAGTATGTTCTCAGTGTAAAAGCCGATGTAACCACATAATTTTTCAAAGATTTTACCTAACAAATAATGAAGTTAGTATGATATGAATTTTTAAAAAAATATGGCAATTTTCTTTTTTTGATCAATATTCTTTACCTAATTTATAATAGCCGTCATTGAAAATCATTACTGCTAAGTAACAGACAATATTAAACGTAACACTAGAGGCTGTTTTATGCTTTGGCGACATCATCCATATTAAAGAATGGAAGAACTCGTTTGGGTTTTGTGTAGACCCATTCAAAACACGCATCAGGCTTTGCTTGCTACAAATTGAATCAAAAGCCGACTTGATTTTATTCCTAACCGCTCTAGGTAATGCATGTGGTGTGTGATCGTAGTGAGTATTATTTTTCTTTGCTTGTAAATATCCACACCATGATACATCACAAAATTGATGATGATGATCTGAGTTTGTGGAAAACTTGTGCCAATACATCGCCTAAGAAAAACAGATGAATGCCAAAGTAGAAAAACTTCAGAGTGTCATACTTGAGCACTTTTATATAATTTATCAAGATCATTTTTATTCTTCCGAATCGCTTCATAAAAATATATTTGAAAACGAGTTATCATTTGATCTATAAAGAAATAAAGTGTTTAGTTCGTATGTTTTCATTCATTATTTCTTCATTGTGTTACCTGTAAGACGTCCTTTTCCACCTATTGTTTTTCCGTCTGATAACTTCTCTTTACCACAATCTTTTTTAATTACTTCAAGAGCACGTTTTAGACGTTTTCCAAAGCGATTGATGTCTTCACTTTTCTGTATTTCAATTCCTAAATATATAAGATCTTTCTGTTATTCATGTTGTGAAAAATAAGAAAACTCATTCATACCTTTATAAGGTATTTCTGTCTTTAGTACAGAAAATGTTTTAGAATCACCATCTCCTATGTATTTTACATAGCGAACACAATATTTCTTTTCAGACCTTCGAAACATTTTTAAGATGGATGATGCTTCCATGTTGCCAGAAGGTTGATCGAAATTTTTTCCACAATCGTGATTAATTATTATTTGGTCATATTTTGCTCGAGCTTCTGGTGTTCCTGATTGTAATCAGCTTTCGGCACCTGAAGCAAAAAAATTGATTATATTTTCAGTATTTTTTTTTGATCATTCAAATAATTCAAGAATATTACCTAAACAAACATTACATGTTTTTGAACATGTCTCAATGTCAACGACTTTTGGAGAATCGCATGTAGATATCAAGTCGGCAGCACCATGCTTGCTAGAAAAGCCTCTTGTTTGCCATGTTCCATCACCACTAACGGTGATGTCAGTACTTTTGGCGACATCAATAGCTTCTTGTATGGCTGTTGACATAGATTCATTGGCAAATTTTTGTACTACTTGTAATAATTCTTTATCACGTTTGTTGTGGCGTCCTTCTAATGGTGGTGGTAAATTTAATGCTGCACATATTTTTTGTAATCCAGTATGGCGAATACCTGTTAAATATCCTGCAAGTTGAGTTCTCACATTAATATCATGTCGTTTAGAATCTGGTACTTGAGGACTTGAATCTAAAAATGAAAATAAATTCATCATTTTGCGTTTATGGAGAAATACAACAAAATCATTACTCACCTATGCTTATTTTATTATTACAAAAACAACATTCAAAAGAGAGAATAACGAATAATCCTTCTCTTTTATTCATGTGCATTTTACCATCCCATTGCTTTTCGCATAACGCGCATTTCGTTTTGGATAATAATGATAATAATAAATTATTTTGAATAATAGAATACGCATCCCAGAGTACATTAGAATCAGATGATAAATGGGTAGATGTTTTTTGCTTTTTGATAATTTTTCGACTAGACGTAGATAATGTACGTTTGCCAGTGGTAGATGACGAAGCCGATGTTGTAGGTACTTCTGATGCAGATGTTTTCGATTTTGAACGCAAGTTTTTTATTAGTTTACGAACTCTATCAATAAAATACAATTTTTTATGATAGTGTGTCAATAAACAAAGCATACTTTCTGGAACCATGCTTCAGGCGCCGTTTGTTGGCCATTGGAGATATATAGATATATATATATGTGTGTGTGTGTATAGCGAAATTAGAAATCTAAAAATGAAAAAAGAAATCATCATTTTTTGCTTAGAGTGCGAGTTGAATTCTTGATTTATTACTAGGTTTTTTTTCTTTTTATTGAAGATTCAAGAAACATACTTAATAACAATAATGATGAGAATGATAGAAACAGAATGAAAAAGAAAACAAAACAATAAAATAAACAAAGTTAAAGAAAAGATAAAACCAATCTTAAAGAATGGAAACTTTACTATATAGATGGCGAGAGAGAAAGGAAGAAAAACAATACATAGTATATATGGTCTTGTACATTAGCGCAGGTCATGCCGACGTTGGATCTAACTCTCAATATTCAATGTACAGTAACAGCTAGTTACAGTTGAATATGTAAAGCTATTCTATGAGATTGGCTACCTTTCTTTGTATAAGTATTTCTAATTAACGCTCTTGTGCATTCGTACAATTTTTCAAAAAAAAAATCCGAAAATTTAAATAAATAGTCGTCAGCATCTCGCCTCCTATGGTAACGCTTTGAAAGACCATTTGACCAGGTTGAGATATGTTTTTTTTTGTATACAGTTTCATTAGAACTTTTCCTAGAGAAACTTGTGAAGAAGTAGAAAAATTATATCCTTTGACTAAGCAGAGATATTCACATTATACACAATGTTTCTTGGAAATTTCATATAAAAAAAATTATTTTACGTTTTTCTCAAAATGATGGTGGAATGACGCAGCCCCCAAAAAAGTCAATTATTATCCGATATAAAGTCAAATATTTTGTATTTGTTTGAAAGAGCATGCCAGAATGCAGTGCCTCTGAGGGTCCTTTTTTTGATAAAGCTTTCTTATCGATATATTGAAAAGCGACTCTATAATACAAGCATGATGTTTTTGTGGACTTTTTGAGTGAGTGAACTTGTGAAGCCTTTTTTTCTAATTAAAAATAAGAATTTAAAAAAAAAGGGCCCTCAGAGGCACTGCATTCTGACATGCTCTTTCATATGAAAAAACAATGAACTAAATTGAATGAAAGGCCATAGAGAAATTTGGGGGCTACGATAAGCTATTTTTCGACCCTTTTTTGATTCGTATCTACCTTATGCATCAAGATAGGAGGTTGAAAATTTTATCATAGACGTACTTTTACATCCCCAACATATCCCCAAAGTTTCATGCTATCACGATGTTCTAGAGCTGAGATCGAATTTTGGGGGGGGGGGGGGGCCTTAAACAATGCAAAAATAAAGAATTTTGTATCACATTTAGTTCGAACTTTATCTCATCAATTACTTTTCTCACACTTATGATCAGTGGAATTTACTAATTTTAAATATTTTAACATACGAAAGTTCCTATAACCCTTATTGTTTAATACCAATAAACCCCATTTTTTACGGGCTTTCATTTGGTATAAAATTCATTATTAACTCTATTTCAAAATATAGCGGCACCCCCCTATCAAAATATTTTTTCCCACCTAATACATTAATTTTCAATAAGGAGAAAAGTCAGAGACCAAATGATTGACCATGTTCATGATGCGTAATTGTCAAAACTGGCCTCTTAATTATATTCAATTTTTAGAATAATAGTCTTATTTTACTCAAACTTCAATCTTGGCTAAAAATAATATTCGTAGCTTCGAATAATTTTTGTGCATATTAAAGCAGAAATTTTTTTGGATGTATGACGTCAAAGTAATATTATCAACATAAAAATAACAATAATATCATAAAAAGAAAAAAAAATTGAAGTAAAGAAAGAAGTGAAATTTAAGCATCCATTGAAAACTTGAATTATTTTCTGCAGAACTCAAAAACTTAATATTCTTTTTTTTCTCAACATTTGATCAATATAAATGATTAAATGACAGATGTAGAATATAACTCGTAGCAGAATATGTCTGTATCACCCAGTAAGCAGTAATCATTTTAGTTTGCAAAAAGTGAATAGTTAGATTTCAGTGCTCTTATTGTGTATTTTTCATATCACTTAGTTCTAGTACTTTTTCTTGATGTCAACACTAGCTTCTTCGTAATACTGCGATTTTTTTAGCCGATTCCACACGATGGTACAAGTATGTAGCCTGTATAATTACCTTAATGCTTTGTTCGTTCTTTTTCTTACCTGATGACTGTTTAAACGCCTGAAAAAAAGAATAGTTAGAGTATGTATTTTGAAACTATTTCAGCAATAAAAATAAAGTTTTCTAAAAGTAATTACATATTCTGAAAGCTGGTGGAGTTTTCTGTTTGTCCATATAATTAGATGTCGACTGAGTCCTATTCATTACCAAAATAAATTGAATAAAACTACGGTACCTACATATCGAGATTCTCACAGACTTCATTTTTTTGTCATTATGATGAAGATTAGTATTTTAAAATTCTTATGATCATTATGTTGCCTTATTAAAGAACCAACTATAGATTTTGATAGAATATAAAATTCTCTATCATTCTGTATACTATTACATTGTGTTGCACTTATGAAATAAAAGTGCTACAGCACATAAATGCAAAAATAGTTTTAAAAAATGCAGGACAATAGAGAATTTCAAGCTGTATCAAAATCTATGAATATTTTTTAAAAAGCTCTTTATATACGTATAATTAATTCAAATAGAGAATTCCGAATGCAAGAAAAAATGCACATTCTTTGATTCTTGTCGGTTGACGGTGTGTTTAAATTTCTCAAGCTTCCTTTTGTATACATCAACATAAAAATATAACTAAACGTTCAGGATAATAAAGAATTTCATACTCTATCTGAATCTACACATTTATTTTAAAGACAAGATAATGATGATATAAAGTTTAAAATAGTAATCTTGATGACAATGACAAAACAAAGTCTGTGAGAATCTCGATATGTCGATGTCTTAGTTTTATTCAATTTATTTTGGTATAATAAAAATACTCAAAATGCGCATGTTCTCTTGCTTTTCCGTGCTTTTGTATCGAGTATTGTAACTTTTCGAATGCAGATTTTCTTTGACTGTTAGTGAAGTTTTCAACACATCCCGTAAATATAGAAACTTATCTTTGCAATCAATAAGCACAAGTTAAACAGAAACAGTGACCTTTCTTCTATTATTTATATTATAGTCAACATTCAACTGTAGAGTACACTTAGAGAGATACTTATTTTCTGCGCTTGCAACGATATCAGACATTTTTCTTGTGTTTTTTCAGAGTTTTCTGTCAGTGAAACCGTTCTAGGTTTGTATTATTCCGAAAAGTGGCACTTGTAAATTGTTTCAATACTTTAATTATCATGATTAATATGGGACCTACTCTGAGTTTCCAATACGACACATTTGTCTATTTTGACATCAGATTTAAAATGTTGGAAGACTTTCATTGTGAATTTTCTTCACGTTGTTTCATTAGAACGATTTTTAAGTTAGAATATGTAGATAAGTTATCGATCCAAATATCCAATCAAATCGGTGAGAGAGAGTCTTTTATTAATAATTAAAATGAATTTTGGCAAAAAGAAGCTCTCAAAAAAAATATCTGAGCTCATTTAATTACTGAAACTATATGCCAGCTGTAAGATGACAAAAAGAAAATTGTATGCCTGATATTAGCAGACGTTTATACCTTGTGAAAAAAAATTGGAGTAGACCATATGTTGCTATTCCGCCTAATAGATTCTTAAAAATTGTCTGAAGAATGTTTTTAGGATAAGAATCGAGGAGAACAATAAAAACGGAAAACAATTAACATATAAGATCGCAGCAGTTTTTTTCATAGAAATGCAATAGAAAAAGTAGACTTTATTAGTTCTGAAGTATGGAGAAATGTCGGCAGTAGAGCAAAATATATAGAACTACGAAGAAATATAGAAGTACAAAAATGGGCTTTTCTGCATTGAAGAGAATCTTTTGTGCATTATAAACAGATATGATTATATCCTACATTTAAAGTAAAACTCGAACAACGTTCTTAATGATAGCCGTCTTAATATCGTTGAATGTCGATGTATTGAGAAGTTTTGTTTGTGAAAAAAGAGTTACTAAGAGTAATTTATCAATTTCATAAATAATCCTTTCACACTGACAAGTTATTTCATCTTTTAACAACATAACAGGGCTTTGTATCTTTCTTCGGCAACGGCCTCTAAAACTTATACAATGAGTACCAAAATTATTCAACAAGGTGTATTTTTTATTTTTCTCCGCTGTCTTAAACGCTAGAGAAAATTCAAAGAGTGATTCACGTAGAGAAAATTGTTTCCAACCAGAATATAAGAAAATAAAAATTATAGTTAAATTTCCAAGAACGGAGTCTCCAGAAAACCAAAATCCTAATTTTTCAGGGCCTACAGTGCGTAAGTATGATTTTCTTCAAGTTATGTACAATAATAGAAGAAAAAATTCTCTAAAAAATGAGATGTCCCCGAACTCTCTACACTGTTTTTTTGCTGAGATACAACACTCTTACGGAACCCTCTAAAGTCATTTTTTCAACATTTTCTATGAAAAAACTAATTTTG